TAGCAGGTAACCCCAGATGATAGATATTCATGATTTTCAAACCTAATTCAAAATTAATTCGTGTCTCCAAACTTTTATTTGTACCTTCAAGGACAGGCCCCTACGTTGGTTTTGGATGGTTAAAACACAAGTATAAGCTGTTTTTAAGAACCTATGATAGTTAATTCAGACTCTAACAGCATGTTTACTATGTTGGTACTTTAAGCCAAATTATCTGTGGTGTTACCAGTAGCTTCTTACAGCTGGCGGAACATTTTCACCTGATCTGAGAACCTGAGTTAAACAGCTTTGGAGAACACCTGGCTTGATCGTTTTTTACATTTTTTAATGATTTAGAAGAACTTCTGCTCATTTTAAGAAGGAGCTGAAGTACAGACAGTAAGAACATTGGAACATTTGTTTGGTTATGTGGTCATTTAATTAATGGTCATGGTTTCTAATCTCAGTCAGTGTGTGAAAGTTTGCTGATCAAATCGACACAGCTGTAAATGGGTATAGATATTCCAGGAAAGATCAATGCCAGAGATGAATGAATGATTCAATATAGCTGTCCATGATTGTCCTTGAATGATCTTTCAGTTTTATGGTTTTGATCTGTGCAAATCAGACCATTATTTCTGGTTAATTTGGTACAAAGATAGAGATAAGGCATCAACCAATCAGAATTTAAGCCTTAAACTGTAAGGCTAAATCAATTTCAAGGCAAAAAATTCAATAAACCATAAAAAACACAAGACTTTTTTTAATTATAGAAATGAGGTCAAAGGCATATCATTGTACTATATGCTTCCAGGAATATTGCCAGAATCTCTGAAAGAATTGCCAGGAATTGCAGGCGGAATTCATAGACAATTTCCTTACACATCATTCTTGAGCCAGGTGTGGCTAGTAGGCTACATACACACTGTTCTTTTATCTTGTAAAGTTGGGTATTCCTTGATAAAATAACTTATACACCATACTGCATAGTGTTTTGATCTTTTAAAGTTGGGTATTCCTTGATCTGTATCATAATGTATACAGAGCTTAGTTGTTTTAATGTTGGGTATTTTCTGCTTAACAGAAACAGCTTGTGGTATTTTTTTACGTAAAAATGCTGGTGCTGAATATTCAGTCTAATTGGTAGAAGTCAGACATGACTGGTAAATACAGTCAAATCGCTATCCCTGCAGGTCTTCAAGTTGAGGTATTGACCAGAATTAGATTAAGTTGATCTAATGCCTCCTTAGAGAATTCCATCGATTATATTTAGTCTAACTGTAGAATTAACCAAAATCAGATGACATTGGAGAAATGCCGGTCACGCATGTATTTATTGATTTCCCAGGAATAATTTGGTTATTTGGTGAAACATTTTGGTATGGTTTGAGATTACTGTTTCATTGGTGTAAATACTTAAAACTGGAGTGAATTATGGGAATGACATAACAAGCAGTAAGAATATTTATCATATACTAAATTGATCATTTTGGTTATTTAATTGGTTCATTTTGGTTAGTACTAGGTTCATTTGGCTTTTTACTTGGTTCATTTTGGTTAGTACTAGGTTCATTTGGCTTTTTACTTGGTTCATTTTGGTTAGTACTAGGTTCATTTTGGTTTTTTACTTGGTTCATTTCGGTTATTTACTTGGTTCATTTTGGCTATTTACTTGGTTCATTTTGGTTATTTACTTGGTTCAATTTGGTTATTTACTTGGTTCAATTTGGTTATTTACTTGGTTTATTTTTGTTATGTACTAGGTTCATTTTGGTTTTGTTCAAGTGAGTTAGTTCTTCTCGTCAAGGGCAGGCTTTACTCATTTATTTCAGTAAAAAATTGCTCAAGGTTATTGTCAGAATGATTAGATGACTACATCCCTTTAACCACAGACAGTTTAAATTGGGTGAAAGTGTATCAAAATATTACATACCTTAAAAAAACAAACTTGTTAAAATAGATTACGCAAGTTTTCTCAAGAAATTCTATCTTTTAGTTTGCTTTTAAATGTTGACCTAAGTTGTGTTTGTGTCACTTTAAGCTCCGAAAGATTATTGTTTCTACTTTCTTAAAGTTTGGTTTTCATTAAACGTCTTAAATTTCACAAAGAACATTGGTGCCAGTAAGTTACAAACTTTGCCCTGTTAGCAGTTTTTATCAAGTCGTTTTATATTACCAAAGTTGGAACCATGATGAATATAGGACTGGTATTGGTACTGTTTGAATCAAAAATCTGTATCAAGACAATTCCATTTATCAAAATCTCATCCAAAGTATGGCTAAAATGAGAGCAAAAGTTGTAAAGTAGTGGACTCCTCCAAAGAGAGGTACCATCAGGTATTTCAAAAAGAGTAAGCATGGTCTGCTTCACGAACGACATACGTCACTACCACAATGGTAAAAATCATGAGATACAATCAGATTAATTCATGCCTGACCAAACAAATCAGCCAAAATGTCAGAAACAGATTTATTGCATTTAAACTTGACCTGGTCCTGTGGCTTTTTTCTGGAAATACTAACATCAATTTTTGAATATAAATGTATTAGCCAATCAGATTACTGTATTTCTTAAATTCTGGATTGTATCTTAGTTAAGATTTCAACAATATGGCCCCTGGACTGAAGTTAATTCATAGTTTAACAATGATAATTTATAAAAAAGGGAGATAAGCAATGATAGCTTGTTGATTTAAAGGACAAGTGTAGGGTCTATTTGACAAGGGTCCCTAGATATTTTTGAATACAAAATAGAATCATACAAAGATATTTGTCCTCATCAGGGTACAATTCTGTCCTTACAAATTTCTAAAGTCTATACCAAAACAGTAGGCCCTAAGCAAGAACTTGATTGTTCTGAGGAACAAGTAATATATCTGGAAGGGCAAGTAATATATCTGGAGGAACAAGTAATATATCTGGAGGGGCAAGTAATATATCTGGAAGGGCAAGTAATATATGTGGAGGAACAAGTAATATATCTGGAAGGGCAAGTAATATATGTGGAGGGGCAAGTAATATATCTGGAAGGGCAAGTAATATATCTGGAAGGGCAAGTAATATATCTGGAGGGGCAAGTAATACATCTGGAGGGGCAAGTTATATATCTGGAGGGGCAATATATCTGGTGGGGGGAGGGGTGATGCCCCCTTGTAGCCAGGGGTGGAGTTTGTCTTTGGTTTTATGATAACATGCTACTTAGCAAATTGAAAACAAAACTCTCCATGCTAGGGAGGAAGGAACTTGACAAACCATATCTGACCAAAACTTGCAGAACTAAGGAAGATTATTCAATTACAAATAAAACCAAACAAACTAAATAAATTGTTTATTATAGGAAATTTTAACGGCACGTCTGTGTTTTTAGCGCCATTTTAAACACCAGTTGATCAAAACCAGATATGCACACATTCTCAATAAATATTTAAGTTAAATTTCGTATTTTGGAAGGTAATTCATGAGCCACAGTATAAATAGTGAAATTTGGCCTCACGTTTTGTTTACAATCAAAGATAATTCAGTCAAATTCAAAGCATGAATTTCAAACGTTGAAATAAAGTATATACAATCCTTTTACATAATATGAATAAGCATTTGATACTTTGGGTGAAAAAATTCATAATATCATGAGTGATTTTATCCTTTTTTTTCATTTTCTACATTTTTTAAGCTTAGAAACTGCTTTTATTTTGATATAATTTAGTCAAATCAAAAAATAAAATGGTGTATATACAAACATTTTGTGTATGAGCATGTGAAATTTTTGTATGAAAAAGTATGATATTTTCATTAATTTGCTAAATGCTTTTCCCTTATTTTTTCATCATATATTTTGACTTTTCGATATATATATGTTTCGGAATATTAACCCGCTTCTATTTATATATTTCAGAATATTTTGGCTGGCGAATTTGATGGTGTTCCCAAATGGGCAACAGATACATGGTTTAAAGTCCAAAACTCCTGAATATAATGGAGTAACTGCCCAATGAGCTTCATGGTGTAACAAAGAACCAAGCTCTTCCAATTGACCACAAAGTGTTCCTCAAGAATTCCTGCTGCCTGAATCGAAATCTAGACCACTGACATTGTTCTTCCATGGTTTACGAGAAACTGTCTCCAAAAAAAATGTCCATTGACTCTAAAACAAACTAAGAAATATACCAAAGAAGTGTTCATCTGATCTTTATAAGTTACAAAAAATTACCAAAGTGTTTTACAAGAGAACTCTGGATTTGATGCTGGTACTCTATGCTTTAATCAAACATTTGTGGGACCATCCAAAGCGCTTTCAATCTTTCATCAAAATCCATGTGACTACTTAACTTTTTTCTCATTTTTTAATCGTGCTACCTGAAGCCAAAGATTTTAATCTTTTACATCAAATCCAAAAAGAGGACCTTAATTCCCTTCTTCCAAAAATAATATCCAATGAAATCAACAGATATTATGCTCTCCAATATCCACCATATCCTGTGATTTTAGGTCTTCCATCCAATCCCTTGAATCAAAGATTTTTTCCACCAAAGGCTTCCAACAGCTTCTAGTTGGTGAGGATCTTGAAAGATATCCACTGAAGCATAGACTGTTCCAAACTTATTTCACCAAAGGCTTCCATCAGCTTCTAGTTGGTGAGGGTCTTGAAAGATATCCACTGAAGCATAGACTGTTCCAAACTTATTTCACCAAAGGTTCCATCAGCTTCTAGTTGGTGAGGATCTTCAAAGATATCCACAGAATCAAAATATTGCCAGATCTATTTCATCGAAGACTTCCATCAGCTTCTAGCTTTGACTAGTAGTGAATTGGAAATTGGAAACTTGAAGGCTTTTATGATAAACTTTTAACAGAAAAGGATTGAGTGCTTTCAAATCTTCCAGGAACCATTTTCCCCCAAAAAAGAAGAATCAGGATAAAGTCTTAAAAGGAATCCACAGGATCAAGAGTCTTCCAACAAACTTTCCACCATGACAGTCTTAAAGTCCAAACCTGCCGAGTATACGGCCATGACACAAGCTATCATCCCACCCACCACCAAAACTACCTCCAATCAGCAACAAGTTTACTATAAAGGTCAAAGTTCACAGAAACATGATGAGGATTGTGGTTGGCTGTGCCTACGACCTCCAGGCTGTGGAAAGTTCATGAGTCCTGCTTGGGTGCTGTTTTTTCTGTGCTGGGCTAGTGGGATACAGGTTAGTTTTTCTTTACGTTTTTCTTTGAGAAATAAAACCTTTGAGAATTACACCTTTGAGAATTAAACCTTTGAGAATTAAAACCTTTGATATTTAAAACCTTTGAGACTTACACCTTTGAAAATTACACATTTCAGAATTAAAACCTTTGAGAAATAAAACCTTTGAGAATTATACCTTTGAGAAATAAAACCTTTGGGAATTATATCTTTGAGACTTACACCTTTGAGAATTAAAATCTTTGAGACTTACATTTCTTTGAGAATTACACCTTTGAGACTTACACCTTTGAGAATTAAATCTTTGAGACTTCAACCTTTGAGATTTTAACCTTTGAGAATTACACCTTTGAGAATTATACCTTTTAGACATTTATATAAATTAGCTCAATAAATAAGGTGCTGATGTAAATCTCCATTTCATTAACCCAGAAAAGATCTGGGGTAGCTTTATCTAGTATTATTTTATAATGTATTCACATATTATTCATTGAATATTCAAAGTGTTATAAACTCATCTAGACCATTCATTCATTCAATCTTACATTCTTACATTCACTCAATCCAATATCTGTCAAGCTAGCCAATTATACACTAGTAAACTGACACTAGACTATATTCATTCATTCATTCATTTCTTCATCTATCTTATGATTAAGATCTGTCAAGCTAGCCAACAGTGCACAGCATTCATTCATTCATTATCACATTCACTCAATCCATCTTATGATTAAGATCTGTCAAGCTAGCCAACAGTGCATAGCATTCATTCATTCATTATCACATTCACTCAATCCATCTTATGATTAAGATCTGTCAAGCTAGCCAACAGTGCATAGCATTCATTCATTCATTATCACATTCACTCAATCCATCTTATGATTAAGATCTGTCAAGCTAGCCAACAGTGCACAGCATTCATTCATTCATTATCACATTCACTCAATCCATCTTATGATTAAGATCTGTCAAGCTAGCCAACTGTATATGAGTGTTATAAACTTCTCTAGTATGTCACAGTCGACTGAGTCAAATGAAATTACCAACACTATATATTGTATGAAGACAGTCAGTTAGCTCTGATGACACTTATATACTACTCTACTATACTGTGTTAAATACTTAATATGGCTACCTATCTTAATGAATACAGGTAAAAATATCTAATAATTCTGGCTTATCTTGTTGGATTATCTTAAGGAATTAAGGAAGGAATTGGATATAATTAGTGATTGTTTTGTGGTTGAAGAATTGGGAGAAACTAAAAGTAGAAATGACAGTTATGTTTTTGACTATGTTGTGGTTTATTATGGCTTGTAATAGGTAAAGATATATAATAATTAAGGATTATCTTGTTGGATTAAGGAAGGATTTTGGATGGTGTTTAGTTGAAGAATTAAGAGAAAATAAAAGTAGAATTGATGGTGATGTTTTTGACAGTGTTTTTATAAAATAGTTCTGGATTGTTTTTGAGGATGGGTACAGTGAATTTTTTGTTGTCATATTCATGTGATATGTCCATGAGGAAATGATTATAATTTAGGTGAAAACAAAACTAAGGAAAATATGACAAAAATTTGGCATAGAATTGGTTCGCTGAGGTATTATAATAAATTGTTAAAATCTAGATTCACAAAGGCATTGAGATTATTTTCCTATCCCATTAAAAGTCATGATATTAATTTTCTGTCCTGTAATAAGTTATATCTGTCCCGTAATAAGTCATATCTTTCCCCCTGTAATAAGTCATATCTTTCCCGTAATAAGTTATATCTTTCTGTTCCGTAATAAGTCATATCTTTCCCCCTGTAATAAGTCATATCTTTCCCCCCGTAATAAGTCATATCTTTCCCCCTGTAATAAGTCATATCTTTCCCCCCGTAATAAGTCATATCATTCCCCCCGTAATAAGTTATATCTTTCTGTCCCGTGATAATTTATATCTGTGCCGTAATAAGTTATATCTGTCCCGTAATAACTTATATCTTTCTGTCCCGTAATAAGCCATATCTTTCTGTCCCGTAATAACTTATATCTTTCTGCCAAATTATATCTTATATCTTTCTGTCAAGTAATAACTTATATCTTTCTGCCAAATTATAACTTATATCTTTCTGTCAAGTAATAACTTGTATCTTTCTCTCCGATAATAAGTCATATCAGTAAATATTCTATCCCATTTTAAGTAATGTTTTTTCCCATATTAAGTTACCTACTTGGTGTTGATTTGAATCACTGCTTTCATAAGGTGATGACGATATTTTGACAATCTTCAAGCTTGACTGAGCTTACTTTTGTGTGTTAATTTTCCTCTATTAGGCCTCATGTATCAATATTTACCCTTGGTTAACCCCTTAAATCACCAAGATTCAGGGTAGAAAATTAACCCATTTATCCATTTAAATGTTAAGATATCTTGCCCTTACTTTTTGTACATGGGACATGATGGGAGGGTCTGTAGCACAGTTGGTTAAAGCTTAGGAAACTTTACATGACATCTTATGCTTGTTTATGAAAAAAGATTCTTAGTTGACAACCCAAGTGGCTTAGTGACATCATGTGTTTCAGAATGGCAAGGAAAAACATCACAAGATAGAAAATATTTTAATCCAACAATTTTTGAAAGGAAATTCTAAGGTGAAAAGCCCAATGACTGAGTATCATCATGTGTTTCAGAAAGGCAAGGAAAAGCATTTCAAAATACAATATTGTCCAAGAAAATCTATATAGAGTCTTATAACAACAAATATATCAGCATATGAGATACTTAAGTGAAAAGCCCAATGGCTTAATGGCATCATGTGTTAAAGATAGGAAATATAATATTGTTCAGTAAAATATAATATTGTTTAAGAAAAATCTATATTGAGGCTTTATAACAACAAAGATAGCCTGCACGGTTATTGACCAGATATTGATTGGTTATGTAAGTAACAATGTGGATAAAAGCTCATAACTAGGAGATATAAATACTAAATTATGATAGGATTTTCTATCTATTGCTAATATAATAGAATGTGTCGCCATGCTAATTAGTTTTTAATGCTGCAATGATGAAAAATTTCGCTAATTAATATTGTAATAATAGTTATTGTATTTGGTTAGTTGATCGGTAAATAAGGGGATAGTAAAAAGGTTTTGAAATAAGAGACACTGATAGCATCAATCTACATCATTCTAATTTACAATCAGACATCTGCGGTTCTTGCAATTCCACTAAAACTTAGTGTTGATGAGGTCACTAATCGCAAAAGGCCGTATGTGACAATTAGTGACATCATCAAATAAATAAGAAATATCTGATTGAAAATTGGAATGGACACACTTTAAACACGCTTTAAACACCAACAGTATAATCGAATTGTTTAAAAAAAAACACTAAAGTCATAATAGTATTCAAATGAAATTGCAAGTCATTATGGTCTTTATCAAAACGTTTAGAGTTGTGACAACATCACAATACATGTACAATACACTATTACGTAAACTAGCTATAGATCGTGATTTTTGAATCATTATCTCAGGACTTTAAAGGGATTTTAAAGAGGTTTTCTGAAGCCGTCACTAATTGCAATATATGCTTTATTTTCTTACTGATGTCATCAAACACTTAGTTTTAGTGGAATCACAGGAACCACAGACGTCTGATTGAAAATTAGAATGGTGCGGATTATTGCTATCAGTGTCCCTGATACATATAAAAAATGTAGAAAACCTCTTAACAATCCCTTTAAACAGTCATGTTATATAAGATATAAACAATGAATTATAACCTTTAAACCTTAAAAAACCTTTTCAACCTTTTCAAGGTTATATATTATATTGTAAGTATTCAGTATATTTTCTGTGCTCACTTTTTGGACTCTTTCCAAAAAGAGTTGAAAAGAAGTGAATGGATTCCACAAGGTCTTCTCATATATATATTAATTTTTTAAGACCCAATTTTGAAATAAGAATATTAATGCTTTCATTTGAAGGCAAAGCATGATCTTCTTAATAATGACAATTTGTTATAACTGTTGGATAACAAATAACAAGTTATATAGTTATAAAACATGTCAGTCATGGTGTGAAATATTTGTGACATAGAGATAACAAATCGTGACCATGAGATAATTGCATAATAACAACCATAACTATGGATAACAAATCCAAATCAGTAGATAACAAATCAAGATCATTTGCTAACAAATTCTAACCATGAAATCATTAGATAACAAATGCTAACTGTGAGACAATGGGATAACAAATCATAAAGTTATGAGACCACTATATAACAAATCATAACCATGAAATCATAAAGTTATGAGACGATGGGATAACAAATCATAAAGTTATGAGACCACTAGATAACAAATCATAACCATGAAATCATAACTATGAGACGATGGGATAACAAATCATAAAGTTATGAGACCACTAGATAACAAATCATAACTATGAGACATTAGATAACAAATCATAACTTTAGGAAAACAAATCATGCTGATTGATAACAAATCATAACCATAGGATAACAAATCCCAGCCCTTTGGATAACAAGTAATTACTGTGAAATTGACGCCATAAATATCCAATAATAAATTTATAATACTTATAACTTATAAAACATTCATGATATTAAAATATTGAATCATAAAACATAATTCAAAACATATCTTAAAAAACCTAAAAAAATATAGCCTAGTAAAACTATGTCAAGATGAGTAAGTGAATGTCTCCTGACCAAATATATAATCCACTTAAATCTTTCATTTACAATATAATATAAGCTTACAAAGTACATATTGGATTTCTGAATAAATAACTGTCTTTATATAACTTACTTATAACTTATAACTTTGGGAAAAGATTTCAGCATAGATGATCAAAGGTCTTGTATGATGATCATCAACAAAACACCAGGATGATGTCATTATAGCTCCATGACAATTGATGAAAAAATGGCGTTACTTGTAAGATTCTGCAAAAATAAGGTCCTTTTCAGAATTGATAGTAAAT